CTAAACAAACATGGTTGCAAAGCTCAGCATCTATTTAACATCCATACCCAAATTCATATCCACTTAGAATCTCATACTAAAGAATATGGTACAATTGATATTCATGCCTGAAATTTTATCTACTAAATTACAAATGAATATATGTTGCTCCAATATTTAACACAGAATTGATCCACTCTGACCTGCATACTTAATCTGATGTAACTTCAAAAAAACACTAGTACGTCGATTAACACCTAAACTGATGCGGTATACATGTCTAAATAGAATTAATTTATTTCTTAGATTTTTTGGAAGATTATCCAAATTGAATGGCATCTAGCCATTTAAATTCTGAATAGTCATATTGAAAATTCATGTGATAATTAAAGAAACAAGTACAATAAAAAATGAGAAGACTTCACACCATACCGTGTTGGATCACAAAGAAACTGATCCATATCTGCTCTTGAAAGGCGGGGTGTTGCTTCATTTGTATTATTAACATCACAGGAATCTGTGGAAAAGGAAATAGAAACTATTAGGAATTTAGGATCAACACTAGTTATAAATAAATCTATATCTTTTTAGTTCGAGAAGAACCATCAGTTTCACGGGAGGCTGATGCTTCTCTAAAATGGACTCCCACCAAAAGACTGTAATCCATTATCCTTTCCTGCTCTAGAAACTCACAGTCTCGATCAACTTGCCTATAAAAGAGAATGTAAGAGGGCTCGAAGCCATAAAACAACAGGCATTTTGAGGGAATAAGAACGTAAGATGGCGGTAGCAAAGTTTAAAACATGAAGCAAATCATGCATTAAAACCTGTGAAATTCCTGAAACCAAGACTTCTGTAATCGGAATATAAAATTGAGATCAAGGTCCTTCAGAGTAGTGTTCTCATCAATCTCTGCCTCAGGTTTATCCGTCGTACGACCATGAGAAGAACCTTTAAGGTCAAAACGTCTATGGATTGGATACTCAGAACAGAAGAGATTGCCCATTATGACAAAACGAACCTAATTAATTTACAAAAGAGACATGTACTAGACATCAGCGATATGTTGCTTATTGTTTGAGCTAATGTTGAATGTGTAAACAGAAAACCAACCTTTCTCTGAGTAGCCCCAGTTAATTTCACACAGTGCAGACCAAAAAATTTGGTAACTAGAGTATTCTCAAAAGCTCGGACATGGTTATAGTAGGCTGGAAGCATCCTCAGAAGCACCTATGAGAAGGGCAGATAAGAAAACTGCAACGTCGAACACATAATAACATCGAAAATAAAAGAACACACACCTTTACTTCAGATTTCTTCATTGTTTTTATCATGTATCGATCATCATTTGTTAGGTAAAAGAAGCTTCCACTTTTTCCAGGAGATGAAAGTTCCCGAAGGGCATCATTTCCGCAGATTGATATCATATAATCAGCTGGATCAACCTTGAAGAGCTTGCGGAGAGTTCTAAAAATCCAGTATTTGGACAATGAGCTTATTACGTCAGAATGCAGATACATGATTGAAAAAGAGAAAAAAATACACAATACGGGTTGGGGAAAACACATTTTGCAAGCGCACCTGAAAACTAGTGGGCAGTAATCCTTCCACTTAAAGTCACAAGACTGGTGTGGGGGTGTTTGTTTTGTTCCTTCAGGAGGAAACCTTGTCCATATCTTTTCTTTTGGGTCAAAGGCTGATGCTTTCAGGTCAAGTGATTTGGGTTCAGGTTGCTTTCCTACTGCTTGCCTAGATCAAAGTCCACAACATATAAACAAATAATCATTATATCAAGACCTTTAAGAGGACATACAAGAAGTAAGCATAGCCCAACATGCTTTTTCTTTATTGTGACAGTGATTCTTTTCCACTTCCTTTTATTTTTCTAAACATGTGCCAATGGTTAATGTGATTCACTTCATTTAAGAGCAAGATATAGACAATGAAGTGAAAGCAAGAATCAACAATGTGTCATTCTGCTTCTTTAAGATATAGATGTGGTGAACATCATCATTAGCATGGTTAGAGAACTTCACCCAAGAAAATAAGAAAACTGTCTTTCTCAAAATGCTAAATTTGCTTGAATAAAAAGGATTGACTTAGTTGGTGTATAAGTTTAATATACCAAATTCATGTCTCCATATGGAATTTGTATCTCTCTTTGATTAAGCATAGCCCAGAGGATGAAAGGATAGACCATATGACATGTATAATAAATGACTCAAAAAATGCACAACACAGGACTATAGCAACTGTTCATATGCTTTGTCTGCAACTTACAAATTTCTTATTCAGAGAAATCAAGTACTAAATCTAATCACAATTTATTTCCACTTCCTTGCCCATAATCATATTTAACAAATGATAGAAGTTATTGATTAATGAATGCCATTGGTTCAAAGCTAATCATCATAAATAGAAGATTAATCTGCATCTTATCACATAGAATAAATCTTTGCAAGTCAGACACTATAAAGTAATGGCTTCAATATATTTGTTTGCTCATCATTTTCTTGTGAGATGAGTATGTATAGTCTAAAGAAATGCCTTTTTAGATCAACAAAAGAAGCCCAAACGTAGAAACTCAGATAATCTTAGCTGATAATCTAGTGAATATCACAAACTACAGTGATGCAGGATGACTCTTCCGTGGTTAGTGACAAATCTCGTGTTTTTCCTCTTTCTGGGTGCCTAAAACACTTCTCTATAATCTATATACTATCTAATATTAAGATACGACTTCCACAAGAAAGATTGTGATACCTGATACCAAGCTGCAGATTCAGCATAAGGTCATAATTTTTATGCCCCTTTGAGATAGGCTCCCCTTGCTTCTTTACCTCCCTGAGCGGCGACCTTATCGGTTGATGAATCCTCCCAGCCCCTCTCGACTCTGCCTCATCTAAATGAAGCTCGCCTACAAGGTCATCGACACCCTTGTTCGCTCCCCCTACCTCACCATTCTCAGCATCACAACTGAGAAACTCAGAAGAGTCCCAGAATCCGCTGGTGCTCCCAATACCGCTGATTGTACTGGAATGGCCATTATGCTTTATTGGTGTACCCCCTGTCGGGACAATCTCTACTGATGCTCGCCTCCTCCGATGAGCATCTGGTGACTTGGTAGATTTCCAGACTGCCTGCTTCTGCATGAAGTCTGCCTCAATGCCCGACCAATTTAGTGTCTTCTGCGAAGGGAGAATGGATACGTTCTCACCCTGGGAGACCTTGCAATCTCCAAGGTCCGCCAAGAAGACCCCATAGGGATCCCGGGAAGTGGGGGACGAAGCAGTCGGCGACGAGTAGTAGACACCTTTCTGCTGGAGGCTCCCATTCTCCTTGCTCCAATACCCAATGTAAAGCCCTCCGTCAGCCCAACGGAAATTGCCATTCCCCTTTGGAAGCCCGTCCTCCCACCCGCCATCGTACCGATTACCGTTTGCCCAGACCAGGGTGCCGCGGCCGTCAATGACGCCGGCCCGCCACTGCCCGACATACTCGTTCCCATTCTTCCACACGTACCTTCCATGCCCATCTTGGTTATCGGAGCGCCACTCCCCATCATAGTAGTCGCCATTGGCGTAGGACTTCACCCCGTGGCCGTGCTTGAGGTTCATGGACCAGGTGCCGCGGTAGGTGTCTCCAAGGGAGCTGGTGTAGGTGCCGTACCCGTCCATGAAACCAGACTTGAACTCCCCTTCGTAGGTGGCACCAGACGGCCACGAAAACTTGCCTTTCCCCATGGTCTTGCCGTGGCGCCATTCGCCCTCGTACATGCATCCGTCGGTCCACAGGTACTTGCCGGTGCCATGCGGCACATTGCCGCTCCACTCCCCGGTGTAGAAGTCGCCGTTGCCGAGCAGGCGCTCGGCGTGGTAGGCCCCCTCCGGGTTGTCCACGGGCAGGGGGTCCGCCGGGGTGGCGGCAACGGGAGGGAGGTCGCCGCAGGACTTGGGGGTCGCGGCGGGTAACTCGACGTCGTCAGCGTTGGCGACCGACATGGAGGAGAAGAGGCGGCGACGGCGAGCGGTTTGCTGCTGCGGCTGCTGCTGGGTGCAGCGGACGTTGGACTCCCAAACCTTAGTGAGTATGTTGTCCTTGAACATTCTCCAGTCGTTTATCTCTTCTTTCACTTCTCCATCGAAATGGTCTCCAATGAATGATCCAATATCTTGAGTTCAATTTTAGCCCTTTTTTTCTTCTTTGCTCGAAGATTATCTCATGAAGGGAGGAGATGCTGGCTGAGAGTGGTGGAGTTGCGCCGCTTGCGGACTGGGGGCTCCGGTTGAAGCTCCGTGCAAGGCTCGCAGACCAAACATCTGGGAGGAGGAGGACGAAGAGGAGCACATGGGAAGAAGAATGGAAGGACAAATCCATCGTCCACGATTGTAGGGCGAGTGCTTTCGACAATGGGCAGGAAAGCCTCTTATTTTAGGAGACGACAACGGCCGCAGAGACAGAGAGAGATGGGGTCGTTGTCTACGGCCTTTCTTTTTATATTTAAGTTATATTTTAACCATGATAAATAATATGTACATATATTTGCTGGGATATATATTACGATCAACATAATTTTATATAATATATTTTATAAATAATATAGGGTGATTTTTTCTGATTTTTTTTCTCGAAATACTTCGGTTTTAGTTATTTCATTTGGTGTCTTTTTTTAGGACTGCTAAAAGATAATTTTTATGATATAATAAAAAAGAATAACAGAGGTGAAGAGCGTCACAAGAGAGCAACGAATACAATAATTTTTAATTTCATCAATAATATATAAAAAAAATTAGAAAAATAAAATGATAATAATAATAAAAAAAAGAATTAAGAATATGTCGAATTCTACTCAATAAATCAAATCGATTGACCATCTGATTTCTAATCGAACGGTCCAACCACAACTTTATAGTACGATGGGATTCATCGTCACGAACCGCCCGCTCTGTGGATAAAGGCCGGACGCCCGAGACCGCGGCCACGTTACCCCCCCCAAATCCCTCTATAAGACGCGATGGATAGCTTCGGACTTCACAGCAGGCCATTATGGCGCGAGCTGCCCTCCATATTTCCATGGCCATTTCTCCCACGAAATGTGGCGAGAATGGCGACAAGTCGGCCGAGAACTCCCGCGTACTTATCCTGGGAGGAACCGGAAGGGTCGGTGGCTCCACGGCTACTGCTCTATCGAAGCTCTGCCCCTCCCTCCAACTGCTCATAGCTGGACGGAATCGGTAGGTCAATCTTCTTACTCGCTAATTCGTAGTAGTTGTGTCTCGTTTCCAATCTGATTCTGGCGGAGATCTGTATTGAGGGCGTCAATTATTCATCGGCGGTGACGATCTTATTGTTCTTTGGTTTCAATTCGAGAAAGTGACTTGTTCAAGCTCCGAAGGCAAGATGTTGTCGTCTAATTATGACATTCAAATTGCTATGAACTGATACATATTTGACTTACCCTTGCATAAAAAGCAAAATCATGTTACAGTCCTTTTAGATGACTAATCTCTTTCTGTTCATCTTGGGGTACGTGTCTCATACCTAAGGGAACCTTCATCGTGGCGCTGGTCAAAAAATAGATATAGTACTTATGTGGGATTGTCTATGCCTATTGCCTAACCACCTGATTTATGGAGTAATTTTCTGTATTTTTTATGATTTTATATATTCTGGTCTGCATCTATATGTTACAAGAAAGCCACTACAGTATCCATTAGTTATAACTTATAGGTACCCAAAGAGGATGATATCTGGTTCTGAGGCTACTGTAAAGAAACTCATGTAACTTCTAGGTTTATTGAACAGGTTAAATTCCTAATGAATATTCATGTTGGATATGGATCTTGTAGATATTCATAATAAATATTCATGGTGGATTTGACCATGTGTTATTTGGATGCATTTGGAATTTCCAATGTTTTTATGTCATATTATGTCGTGCTTTATTTTATGGTTCGCCAGGGAAAAAGGTGCTGCACTTGTATCTAAACTTGGTAAAAATGCCGAGTTTGTTGAAGTTAACATTGAGAGCACAAACATGTTGGAAAAAACATTAGAAGGTGAATTCAAGTCTCTCTTTCTTTCTGTTCTTTTTTGCCCACTCACGCCTATTGCTTTCTTCCGAACGAAACATACACTCTACTATATGAACTATGTGTTTATATGTATACATTTAAGAGCAATATTGGTGTGTAGCATGTACATTTGTAAGTATTTACACTCCCAAATGGAATAACTATTTTATAGTATATAAGCACAGTTTGGATTTTGTTTGTTATTGGTATTTCATAACCATAAGTTCCTTTTTCTTTCTTGTTGATTGTCTTTCTCATTCTGTCTAGGGAATGGTCTGTTGTTCAATGTGCCGTATCATGCTTAGCATACAGGTGCATCAACCTGAAATCGGCACTAGGAAATGTTTGACCATTGGCTTCCCAACAACTAGTAGAGTTAGTCTGGAAATGTGAAAACCGGTGAGGCCACTGTGGAAGCTAAAGTCACTTAGCAGGTCATTAATTTTAAAGGAGCAGAAAACATCATAATGTATCTGTTTCCAAGTCGTGAACTACTAGCTAGCAATGTTTCTGACTATACAAACTAGTAAAGGAAAGGAGACCAGAAAACATGAGGGAAAAAAAAAAACTCTAGCACTTGGATGAGTTATATCACTATCAAGAATATCTATCCTAGTCAGTCGTTGATAAGCATTTGGATGTGTTGAGCAGGGCATATTATTGCACAAAACTAGATTTTTTTGTTGGGCTACCATTAGATATGAGTGCACCCGGAAGTTATTGAAGATTGTACCATTTCATTTGACCAATCTGTCATCTATTTTCTAAGGCCTTGTCAGTTCAACTAATTCTTTAGCATAAGGCCTAATAAATTTGACCATTTCTTCAGTATATATGTGTCTATTATGATGACATTAGCTTATCGTAAAGCGTTGGATGACCAATTACTTGCAGCAACTCTTCCACATATTGGAGATACATTGGCACCACCATCTTTTCATCAATGAGAGCATGTACTCATTTGGCATGATCTTGGATTGTGTCATTTCAGTTCAAGTTCTATACTGATCTAGAGAAAGTAAAGGCGACGTTAAAGTGGCCTGTTAATATCAATATGCCAATTCTACATGGGTTCTTCAACTTGGTAGGCAACCACAGGTTCGTTGTGTAAAAATATGCAAATTAGCAGTGCCAATCGATGTCACTACTCAAGATGGATACTTCCATATTTATCAGTGTTGAAGCAGTGAAGCAAGATATGACATCGCTCCATTGTTGTCACTTCCTCAGTTTGGTAAAACCTCTGAGAACTAAGTGAACACATTTGAGATCTGGATTGGCACAACCTTAATGCAAAATGTCCCTTCATGGCATACTTTGGCAAGGCTTTAGAGGGAAGATCAAGAGCATTATTTACCCATGAGAATGAGATTCTAGTTATTGTGATAGCCATGGTTTTAAAAAACAACCATACTGGTAGTATGGTTTGATTTTTACACGTTGAACAGTTGACCAGTACATGGACTGGGCAATTTTGCCAGATCTGAGCATTATTAGCTTATGAGAGTGACGTTCAAGACTTCAAGTGGTAGTGATAGCCAAGGTTTTAAAAAATCAATCACACTAGTCAAGATAGTTCAGTTCTCTGACATGCCAGATGATGTAATTTTGCCCAGTGCAATCCTGAATGTAGCTTACTACCTGGTAAGCTTGCTGCACAGTGACTTTATCAGTACTGAGGTATACTGGACAGAAAGATTTTTGCCCAATACTGGTACCTATCGTCTTTTCCTCGTACCATCTTCTCTGCTGCTCTTTTTTTGTTGCTTTGCTTCTCCTCCTTGACACCGCCACTGCTCCTCTGCTGCTTGTTCACATCGTCATCTCTCCTCCTCCTCCTCCTCCTCCTCCTCTCTCTCTCTCTCTCTCTCTCTCTCTCTCTCTCGCTGTGCACAGAATAGTCTGGCTTGTATTGACCCAGCTAATAGTCAGTACACTATGCAGTATCAGTTTCTGATGGTCTGATCACCAATCGGTAATGAAATCGGACTGAGATTTCAATCCTTGATGACAAATGTATAATAGTGGAGGCCATGCAAACTTCGTCTTTGATTTACCATCAGGAAATACATCTTGAAAGAATATGCACTACTTCAACACAAAACAGATGGTTGTCAAAGCTCATGGGATATGATTATGTAATCCAATGTAGGTGAGGCCTGCAGAAATGTAAATGAGCTCTTTCGTTTACCTAAGCTCACCTGATTTTTTATTTTTTTCTAATAATTGTCAGCAATAATGAAACATGATTATATCAGCCTTGATTTATCAAATATTTGCACATTAATGGAATTGCTTAAACTTCTTTAAGGTTGATTATTACCACAGTTTAAACTCCAGATGTAGATTTAGTAGTTCATGCTGCTGGACCATTTCAAAAGGCAGAGAACTGTGGTGTGTTGGAAGCTGCAATATCTACAAAGGTGAGAATACCTTTAATTTCTTTTTCCATGATGTGATCCATTACTTGTTAATTCTTTTTCTCGTTAATCTTCTTCCATTTTACAAAAGTATTTTTAGTCAAAGTAGTCCTCAAAGTGTATTCTTTGAAAAGCAGACAGCGTATGTGGATATCTGTGATGATACAGACTATTCACAGAGAGCAAAATCCTTCCATTCAGAAGCAGTGGCTGCTGGAGTTCCAGCAATTACAACTGGTGGAATTTACCCTGGAGTGAGCAACGGTATTACCATAGATCCATAGTTCATTTGATCTTTGTGTAATATAAATCCCTCTGTACCTTTGATATTTTTGGGGCAACTTGCATCTATTATTACTGATTTTAAGATCTACGTTCAGTTTCACTATTTGGATTTGTCATGTTGTTTTATGAAATGCCACTGCCTTGTTGCCAGCTGCAAAAAAACACTAGTTGCATGTACTATCATGCATATACTTTTCATTTTTCTTATTAAATAATAAATTATGAGAAGATAGGGCAATAGGAAGATTGCTATGCATATTGTGCACTTCAAATTCTCTGATTCCTTGCTGTTTTAAAGATGACCATCATTCCTGTGATAATTGTCATTGATTGATTTTGATTCCTGATAAATTGCTAGTGAAACTTTATTAACATTTAATGTTGGCTTATTTCTTACAGTTATGGCAGCTGAGTTAGTTCACTCTGCCAAATCTGAGAATGCTGGTGAACCAGAAAGGTTAAGGTTAGCATTTCTTTTGTCCCCTTGTAATTGAAAACAGATGTCGTCACAACAACATAGCTACTCCAAGCAAATATGATGGTTTAGAAGATCTAGTTGGTTTTCAAGGGAATATTCCTGCAGATATGATGCTTAGATTTATAAAAGAAAGGGTTTCAAAGGGTTTCTTTTTTCCCCTGAGTGTGTTTGATTGCCAAAATATGGTCTCTCTGCTTTTGCATACACACAATATTCTGATTTCTGGTGACCTTTGATTTACTGTATATAACTTAATATCCACCCTTTATATGACATAAGTGACCAGAAATCAGAAGTTATGTTTATACATACAGAGAGTAATTTGGCATTTCATTTGTTTCCAACATCCCTTCATTTGTGATTAACTAGTGATTTTACTCTTTATTGGTCAAATGAATGAATTTATGTTCATTTATCAGGTCCATGTCTACAAAAATATCAAATACGCAAGCCATTAACCATTGTGTCTTCCATCAGATTTGCTTTCCTCGCACTTTCCCACAACAAAAATAGCCCAGATTCTTTTTTCTAAAAAATTCTCTGGTTTTCTAATGCCACTTACATTGCTCAGAAGTTATCCTCACTACTGAGCAATCCTAAGTGTCCAATTAATTGAAGTTTTGCTCCACCAACAAGGGAGCTTATTATTTTACAGATTAATATGTGCATATTTCTACCCTTGGTATGTATTCGACTAGCTCATTCACTGATTGCAAAAATTTACATGATAGAATATAATTTGCTCAACTGAGCTAATTTAGATGCCTGCTTCACTGATACATGCCTTCAGATTTTTCTACTACACTGCAGGTTCTGGTGGTGCAGGTCCAACAATATTGGCGACTAGCTTTCTGCTGCTTGGAGAAGATGTTATTGCTTATAATAAAGGTCAAATGTCTAATTCTTACAAATGTCAACACAATAAACAGATTTTCCAAAAAAGACATCGACTAAGATGACTTCTTTTTTAATCAGGTGAAATGATCAAAATGAAACCATATAGTGGAGTTCTCAACATTGACTTTGGAAAAGGGATTGGAAAAAGGGATGTTTACTTACTGTAAGTTCATTTAGTTTTTGAATGACTGTTAACTAATGATTCTAGCATTATTCATCAGTAGTTTGCACAGATTATTTTACAAATTTACCACGTTGCACACTTTAACATATATGATGTATCAGGTTGAATATAAACTGCCTGGTCAATGTGGATCAGTGTTCGTGTTTTTATCCACTTCAAAGTCTTAAAATGCCATATGTTTTTTCTAGGTTAATATATTTACTTTACCATATAGTTCTATGTCGTACATCATGGTAATGTGAAGATTATTTAACTTCTTAATATTTACATATCCAACTCCCATTCAATGGATGTTTTGCTAGTTAGTAATCCAACAGCCAACCATTTACCAGGTATACTGTAATCAGTCAGCAAGAAGACTAGAGGATGTTTTTACTAACTACAAACAGTGTTGTACTAATTAGAAATGGAAAAGTATTTTTTCGGAAAACTAGTTTTCCAATTTTCTGATTTTGTGATATATGTTTGTTTTCCAAATCCTCCAAAAAATTTTTTGCATTATGTTAAGCTTCATCATTGCCATCGTTGCCACCATTGTTACAACATTTCCATCACTATAATGACACTACGGTACTATCAACTTCGTTTGGCTCAAATCAATAACCAAAATACTTAAGCTGAAGTTGATAATAGGATTCTCATCAGACTTTTATAAGTTAATCATAATTTTATCTACTTCTGATGTGGGACTGATTGGGGTGTTGCATCCTTCGTTGTATATATTGTTATCATTGACACCCTCACCATCACTCCTTTGTCTCCAAATTTGTAGTCAACTCTATCACTATTTCAAATGTTGTCACCGTTACTACTACCTTCACCATCATGACAAATTGAGGATGAGAAAGAAAATAATAAGATATTTTTTGGGTTTGAATAGGTGAACATATTATATTTTTCCATAGAAAAATGTACTGGAAAATATAGATAAAAAGAAGATGAAAGTGAAGAAATGTTTTTCGAAAATGGACATGGATGTTCCTAGCTTATGGTTATAGTGGATAAATTAACTTCTATATAGTTCTTTATTTTAAACTATGCAACACGCTTGAAAGTTTTCAACGGTGGTATCAGATCTTACCTACTACTTGTTTTATCATGCACGTTTTAAAATCTTTGTTTCATTTTTTCATTTCATTTATGTTTCATCATAGTAACAAATTTAAGGATTTTATAGATACATAGCCATGCAAATGTCTTCCTAATTTTTCTAAATTTAGAAATGATGCAATCCAGGATAAATTAGTGGATAGCAATGATTAAAGTTCAGTAAGAGTCAATCATCATATATTTTTATTACTATTTTAAGTTTTCAACATCACGTTGGTACCCATTTCCTTCACATGAACATGAGTCATTAGAGTATAGGCCCCTGAAAACTTCTTTTGCTATTTCTGTGAATGGGGTTCCATACTTTCTGTTTCTGATCTGCTTCTGTGATAAAATATTTTTTCAGGAACTTGCCTGAGGTTAGGAGCACTCATGAGATTTTGGGTGTGCCAAATGTCAGTGCTCGATTCGGTACAGCACCCTTCTTCTGGAATTGGGGAATGCAAGCTATTGCAAATTTTGTTCCTAGGGTAAGATCCTCCCACACAAATAACTCTCATAACTTGTCCTGCACCACTTGGTAAAAGATTCAATTAGTTATTCTTCTCACTCACCCTATGGCTTCCCTGAAAATAGTTTGGCTGTGTAAAAGCCAATTGCACCTCTTGAACTGATAACGCCTGTAAACATGACAATAGCCCATTCACACAATGAATGCTATTGGACATATGGAAATTTGTGTTAATGTGTGTGTAACTTCATATTATTATGCCTATATGGCAAGAAGGTCAGTCGGAAAAAGTGAAAAGTCCAAGTAGAGAGGAAGAACAAGGGCGATTAGTTACAGTAAGAAGGGTCCATTTGCCTCTGAATTTCCTAGAGAAGTTGCTCTCAGTAGAGCTTAATGACATGAAATGATCTCTCTAATGAGTCCCAAATAGTTCAAAACTATTTATATGTGGACCTAGTTACAGATTTATAGATCTGCAGACATTTGGACTTGATACATTTGCTGGAGAAGTTTTGGAGATGTCAGACAAGTGTATTTATGATCACTCTCTCCGGTTAAATACTTTTTTCATATACAGGAAATTCTGAGAGATAGAAGTAAAGTCCAGCAGTTAGTTCAGATATTCGACCCTTCGGTGCGAGCTATTGATGGCATTGCAGGAGAGCGGGTAGCAATAAGGGTCAGCACTTCATGGGTCTATACAATCTTGGTTTCCTGTTAACTTATTACATTATTTTCTATCAAACTTCTTTGTCATGTCCAGGTTGACTTGGAATGCTCAAATGGAAGGAGTACTGTTGGTTTATTCACTCACAAGAAACTTTCGGTGTAAGTTCTAGCCTCTGCCCAATACATATTCACATCTAGAATATATTCTTGCTTTAAGTGTCTGTCATCTGATCATATATAAGCTTTGTTATAAATATGTATTCATTTTTGGAGTCCTCTGACAATCATCATATATATAAGTATACAAAACACTTGCAATCAGACCAGCATTGTTTGTATGTATACCGAAGTTGTCATAAGACTCATCGTATATATAAGCTATGTTTTAAATATGTATACAAAGTTTTTTTTGTATTATGTTAAGCTCCATCATTGTTCCATGCTGGTCTTGTTACCTCTTTAAATGCTTGCCTTAAGCCAGGAAAATGGGTAGGAAATGTAGTATTCTTTCTTTTGTTGCTGTCATTTTATGACTTCAAAAATTTATACTTTGTAATGGTGCTATCAGATCGGTCGGATATTCCACTGCTGCTTTTGCACTAGCAGTTCTTGAGGGGAGCACACAACATGGTGTTTGGTTTCCAGAGGAGGTAATTAACAGCACAAGTTAATGTTCGTAAAATGATATTCTCAGGCATTAACTGTTATCTTTAAGTAAATGAAAGTTGAAATGCCAATGAAAATTTTGGATTCAAAGACAATACTTATGCTATGCAGCCAGAGGGGATCGCGATTGATGCAAGAAAAGTGCTCCTTGAACGAGCCATCGCCGCCGAAGGAACAATAAACTTTGTAATGAACAAGTAAGTTCTTCTGATCAACTCGAGTTGAGTTCACTGCGAACAGCATGATTCAGATCTGTTTTAGCTCAAGTTTAAATTCCTTTGACAGGCCTCCTTGGTTGGTGGAAACTGATCCGAAGGAGCTTGGACTAGGAATATATGTATGATGATGGTCTAGTGACACTTTCAGCCAAAAATGATTTCACTAAGCTCATTATTCAAGATTTTGGAGACCCAAGCACTGAAGATGAGAATTTGCTTTCATGGGTGATCTTTTAGCTTCGTGTTTGTGAGGTCAAATTTATAAGCAATACGATGTTGTAACTTATGTTTTGTCAAATTATAATCAATAACAAATTTCATTAATTTCCATGGTATTATCAGATGATAAATCGGGATATGGGATAATTACTAAGTTCTGAAACAATAGGTGTTATACCGATAAAAACATGTGATGGATACATACTTGAATGAAATTTGGGATGGATTTATAGTTAAATATTGTACTGAATAGGCATAAAACAGTGAAGATAATATGATACGTAGCTGAGTTCTTAGATAAGAATGAGTAAAATAACTAAAGAAAATATAATTATATATGCAACAATATATATGAAATTATTGTTATAGTGAATTGACTAAAGTTACTATCGCCTGAAATATCAGTTTTATATGTGTGAAATCACTGTTCCAGATGTATATTTTTAATTACATGACTTAAAAATAATAAGGGAGAGGATAGAATTTTCTTTTTTTTTCTTTAAACTCGATTAATATCTATGAATACGAAGACATCTCCAACATCATCTGATTTTTTTTTTCTTTTACGTGTGTTCGGGTGACAATTATCTCAATAGGTACCTTAATTCGACTAATGACAACTATAACTATATTTTTGCATTTTGAGAGTTACAAAATCATGTTACAGTATTATGTAAGATGGCATGGGGATGATAATAAGCATTAAAGAAATTATTCATTAATCACAAAATAGTTGCACACAACTATTACTATTGGGTTTTAATATATCTAAATTATAAAAAAATCAAACTTTTAGTAGCTTATTAGCTGCATATAATTAGCAAATGTATGTATGACGATTTGCGAGACTAATTATATATTATCTTTTATAATCAATTAATTTTTATATCTTAATTCTTATACTTTTAAAAATTATATTAGGATTTTTATACTAAAATATTGAGATCCTATATAGAATTAAAAAAAATAATTTTTATGATTAAAAAATTTTATTGAAGTAATGGGATTAAATATTTTATTTTTTTTAAAAAATCTTAATATAATTTTAAAATATGAAAAATAATTAATTACAGGAGTAATACGTAATTACCCCGCGATCTGAGTGGACTATATTATTCCCCCCCATTCCCCGTCCTCCCATGTCCCTCGTTACTCACCGGTCTCGCTTCGCCCCCGGCTGTTGCAACCCTTCTTGTTCCTCTCCCGCTGCTTTTCTCTGCTTCAAGGGTTTCCTTGACTCCCCATATCGACTGGTTGATCTCCAGGCGATCCGCCCTCGTCTGCTATCTCTTCGCCTCCCTCAGTTCCGTCACCGGTCACCTCGCCATCTCCCACTAGCCAACTTCTTATCTCTTCCTTTCTAGCTTTCACATCCCACGATCTTCTATCTGCGATCGATTTGAGGTCAGATTAAAAATTCTTCCCCTCTCTGAACCTTGTTCCACTTACAGTCCGTGTGATTCGTGGGTAAAAGGTTTTCTGGCTATAGTCTTTTGATTTGAGTTGTTTATATTTAGATTATGGGAATTTTTGTTTCTTTGAATAATTTTGTTTCCTTGGTGTAGATTTCTATTTCCATTTGTTGATCTCTATTTTTTCGTATGTCGATGTGTTATGATGGGTTCGATCAGGACTTAAGTGTTAGGAGTCTGGTCTGAGATCAAACCCTAGAAAAGTCTGTCAGCTTCTAGAAACTGAGAAGTTGATCGCAGTATTAACTGTGACATGTAGCTTTCCTGATCTTTGTGATTCAATTGCTCTTTTACTTAGATGATTACTTGTTCCTACTAAAATGCATAATAACATTGCCTAAACTTAAGTGTTGCACGGTGGTTTCCTGTGTGGTCATGTTAAAATTAATTCATGAACCTTGAACACAGTCCGTGTTGAAGCATTTCAATGGTTTGCAGGATTTAAGGTTAGCAAATATGAGTGCTTTTAGGATAATGCATAGGATAAAGTAATACAAGGAAGAAGAAGAAGTAAGAAGTAAATAGGAAGGAAGAGGAGGGGTTGGAGGAAGAGTAGGAGGAGAATAAGAGGAGAAATACTGAAATGAGACAGGCAACGCTCGAGTGATGATGACCAAATGATAGGGGGTGATGCTCAAGCTAAAAGCCTGATGCTGCTTTTAAAAGAAAAAAAAGCAAAAGAATCATTGATGGGAAAAACTAACCAGACCATCTGAAAAGGGGCGGTCCACATCTCTATTTACACCCGAACCTGTAAACACCAGTCATATGAAGTAGTTTTGAGTGAAATTGCTTTCCTTTTTTTATGTACTAAGGCATATCGTATCATACCGATTAATATGTCTTGAACAATCCTTTGAGTTGCTCTTCATGTATAACTTGTTCAGAAGTTGTTACATTGTGATGCTAAGCTGATCCAAAGGTCTAATTTCACCTTTGTTTATCTACCTATCGGACCTTGTAGGACTTGTGCAACTATTTCCTTTGATTATGGAAAAAGAGAAGGTACGGCCCGGTTCTTTGTGCATCTCTCTAAATGATCTCATTTATTTAGATACCTTACATTTACATATATGTTTGAAAGTAGCTTTTACAAACATACCAGAATTTCTAGGACAAGCAAGTGCCTTTTGAAAACGAAATAGCCAGTCACAAAGCATCAGCATAGTAAAGTTTGGGAATGAATACAAAGGATCTTCTCAGATATTAAAGTTTATGCCCTTACAGATTTTTTTCTTCTTTGTTCTTTTTTTCTTCTCTTTGGAACTCATTTTTTGTATTTTATTAGATGCTGGAGAGTTTTGACATATCGGAACTCTGTGACTACAGTTTTTTCTAGCTTGGAAATGTTCTTCCAGAAAGTGTTTTGTTTTAGGCTTCTTGTTAACATGCTTAAAGTTGATCCTGCAATATCTTAATGGGTAAGGCGTTACCTTATCTTTGTCTTTGCAAATTAGTTTCTTTTAGACATTTTATCTCATCAAAAGTCCTACAATTGTAGATATCGTTATCATATTGAATGGCTGATTTTATGTTCTACCGCTTCATCACTAGTTACTTATTTGAATGTCATTTGAACTTTATAGTTTTGGGTTTCTGGCATTTCCATCTTTATCATATCTAATACTCATGCTATTTACTAGTAGAACTTACTTTTTAAGGATTATGAATTGCCAAATTAGTTGGTAACCAATGCATCATATTCGGCATGTTTACTTGTGAATATGTGGGATGTAGTATGTGTATTTTTTCTATCTTATTCATTTTATAGCCATATTTTCTATAAATTCTAAATACTTAATGTGTTTTTTCATTAAACGTTGATCATGACCAGTTGATCTCTAGCCACTAGCACGTGAGGAGCACAACTAAATTCACTAGTTTTAATGTCTCTGCGACATCTCCAGAGGCGTGGAACAGCTCTTCTTCGAGATGGTGGACTACTCCAAGTGCTGCGCTCAGAGATCAACTACGAGCTCTCCTCTTCCAGCGAATCCTCTTGCGTAAGAGCTCCACATGAATACTAACTATCTAGTCTGAATCTTCTCCAATAATAGAAGAAAGGATGTCACTTATATTATATTTGTAGGGTGATGGGGTGGGGAGTGAGGTTGAAGGCTTCATGCTAGAATGGACTGAGCTGCGGACACAGGATGTTGTCCTTCGACGTCAACCTGACCACGTATTTTGTGAGGAGATTGCAGTGTCAGCATTGCTTGCGCCATTGCAGTTTCGAGATAAGGATCCACTCCCCAGGGATGTCTTGATGAAGGTCTGCATTAAGAAGGCAGGGTATGACTCAGTGTTGCACTACGATTGCCGTGCCTTCCGTTGCGATAAAGACCAACTGTTGCCATGGACCACAATGGATACTAATGATGGTGGCATTGGTAGTGATTTTACCATTAGAAAGGCTTATTGTTCTTCATCAGTGGATTATTTGGGAAAATGCAAGTCTGTGGGACCCATATTCAGGTATGACTTTGTCTTTCCATGCATTTTTGGTTATTCATTGTTTCTAATAACTGATAGAATACACTAAAATATTAAACTAATCAAATGAGATAGGTGTTGCACATTTCTCGACATTCTTCCATTTTGCCAACTTTTCTTTTTGATATTCTTCCTCTAAATTGTCTTAGAAACTGTATTATTTGGGAAGGCATTTTGGTAGGTTTTTTAGTTCAATTTTATAATATGTTTTCCTTTTTTATATATTTATAACATGAGTAGTCTTCATATTTTATTAATTTCCTAAAGCTGGATAATTGTAATCCCGTAAGAGTTAGTTATCTCAAGTGTCTTTTACTATTGGAGAAAAAGTATTTTTTGTAATTTTAGGCCCTTAGGGTGTATACATTTTTTATACATTTTGGGTATAGTAGCGTATAAGAAATTTGTACTCAAGCAATCTCAAATTTCTCTTTTTCTTTTTACTCTTCTTTTCTTAATCCTATTTGATTTTCTTTTTGGCCCTAAAGTGGCAAATTTATGAACTTGTATGAGAACGCCCTTGTCTGTTGGTATTAGTGCAGGTCCCTTTGATATTAAAGCAACTTGCTTATGTATATTATAACCATATTAGGACCCTTAGACTCTAAAAATTAAAAAAAACCTCTATAGTCATTTTAAAATAGCTACAGAAATCAGTTGGAAATCACACAAATAATAAAAAGGTATCCTGTTTTTCTTGAAATTCGGTTCATACTGCATCTTGATTTCTTGCTCATCTTGAATCTGAACAAGATCTCCTTTATAAAGGAAAGTTCTAGTCTACTTCCATGTCAGGAATACTCCCTTCTGCGATTGGCATTAGTAATAATTGTTTGATAGGACATTCATCTCCTATCATAGGTTCAAAGGTCAATCATAGGCATTTTTGGGCGTCACCATGTGGGAAATAGGAGGGTATGGGCAGACAGGTAAGATTGGATTTTGAGGAAGGAAATCAGAACAAGTCAAGCCCCACGAAGAAGCTTTCTGTCTCTAGTTTTGATATTCTTATCCTTGTCTAAATTGTGGTAAAAGCATATCATCCTATGCGGTATAGGAGTAGGGAACATGCATGCCTTATGATAGTTGATTTCAAGGTTTCAATTCTCAACCATATTGGTTGGTACAGATTAATATTTACCTGATGATCAAATACTGGTGCCAAAACATATACATTACTGAGTACAAGGACTTTCTACTCATAATAAGATAATTATCGTCTGATGGAGCTTCATGACTTATACATTGCTGAGCACAAGGAGTTATTCAATCCCTATGAGATCCATCCATGGAAGATCTTACAGATCTTCAGTTAGGATCAAAGTCTTTTGCACAAGAATGTAATTTTTTTTTTGCCTTTGCTTGTTAATTATTGGAGCCCAGTTTGTCAAGCTACTGGCTGAAATAGACCCCAATTACTCAGAAAACTGAGGGGTTAATGCTAGAGTTATAAGCTAATGAACTGGTACTGCTTGGGTGCAAGGCCAGATTGCTGCCGGTTTGGTACCGTGCAGTGAATTCCCAACAGGCTGAAATTTTCAACATCCCATTGAGTTTTCTCCTGGTTGATATGGGGCTGTCATGACCGTGAGAAACTAACTACTTCTCTACATGGAGAAGATGGCAGAGAACATGTAGGAGATTGCTCTAATGATATGGAAGAAGATGGCCGAATAGGCAGCACAAGATTAATATATACGGATTGGAAATCTTTTGGCCTACATAATTAGAAAGAAATATATTTGGATGCTACTTTGATATGTTGCTCTAGTATCCCCATCCAGAGCATGCAATGGTACAAGATTATTGAGACTGTCAGTGCTTGACATATCTGTATTAAATATCAGATTTTGTTCTTGGCTTCAAGTATGAATATATCCCTTCTTGTCATGTGTCATGGAATCTTGGCTTCAATTTTGGACAGCATGTAATTTGAAGAATATATATCTCTGGTTTTTCCGTTCATCATCATTGTCACCTAATTTGCAATGGTACTGAATCAGCTTTTTAACCTATGCAGTTCTTTGGACCCTCAATTACAGAAGGCACTCAAAGACTATCTTGTGGTCAGAGGGATCACTCCAAAGCTGACCAACTTCCTCCTCGAACACTTGCACAGAAAGGAGCATAGCCAGTATGTGAATTGGCTGCGCACCATGGAGGGCATCGTTGTCAAGTGAGGCTTCGTACTGCTGCTGAGATATTCTGATAGGTCGAGTTGTTCCAATTCTAGTGCTTTCCTTTTTCTCATCATTGTCTAGGTAGATGAATTTTATTGCAGCAGGCAATTCAAGTGTCTTTTGCAGCTTAAAGAATGCTTATAAAAAAGACAAGATTATTACTTTCGAAAGAAGCTACCTTTCATCTTATACATATCTGGTAAGAGTTTGATCCATCCGCTTTGTTATCTTCATCCGGTAAGAGTTGTGAAGTGCAATCAACCAGCATTTTTCTCCTTGAATTGGCATTTCAACAAATGGACGGCTCAAACTCAACCAAGCTATCGGTGAGGCATGCTTTCTTCTTGGGATTAGATCTAATTTTTAAAGATCGTGAAAGCATTAAAAAGAAGTCTCAGGTAAAATAATAATATTCACCTATAGGCAAACCTCATCATACTCCATGAGATCCTCAATTTGTAACATTAATCGAACCATCAAGCAAGATATCAAACGACATTAATCGAACCGAACCATCAAACATGATTGAAATGACAATGTCTTTGTGTTTGCTGCATGATGAGTTTGAAGATCTCAATGGTACTTTCTATAGTCTCTCTCTCTTCTATTTATTTTTTACCCATTTTTTCTTTCCTTTTTTTTGTCTTCTTGCCTTACCTCCTCCTTTCTCTATAAGAAAGAAAACATTTAATTGAGGGAGAAAATCTCATAAAGCACATCAGGTTCATTTAGAAAGTCTTTTACCTACCCTCTTGAACCAGTTGGTGGTCAAGTAGTTATTGACAAGACGCTGATGCAAATGAATGAATCTAGGGAGGATAAGAGAGATGATTTTAAGAGACATCAAGTAGTTAAATATTTTATTTTATACTTTTTTTTTTTTGTCTCTCATTCACTTTGACTATATCATAATTTTCATAATATTATTCATATAATATATATTTTTTAACGTGGCATATAAGTACATTTTATATTTTAAAATTTTGTTGTCCGATCACAATTATTTGTGGAACATGAAATTTCTTTATGAAATTGATTTTCTATAAAAAAAAATATTTTACATTATAGAGAAAGCCACTCCACTTCACTCCGCAGTGGAAGAACGACATGCTACAGAATCACTGATGAAGGTTCTTCCAAGTCCGACCCTCCAACCTCTTCTGTGTTGCATTTCTGCACCAAATCCACGCTCCACCCACGTCTCTACTGGCAGAAGCACCTCCCTCGCCACCCGAACCAATATATTCTTCTCGTCGGCAGCCAAATCCAAGCCTATAGACCACGTCCTCAAGCTTTTCCACCTCCTCCCCGCGCGCGACACCGTCACCTGGAACACCGCCATCTCCGCCTGCCTCCGCCACTGCCGAGTCGATGCCGCCCTTCGCCTCTTCGTCGACATGCTCCTTGCTTCCTCCCCTGCACCCGATGCCATCACAATTCGCTTGGTTCTCAGAGCCTTCTCGGAAGCGAACGATTCCCGGCTCTTGCCTCAGATCCATGCTTATGTGCTCAAGCTCCAGGAGCAGCTCCCGCCCTCAGAACTGACCGTCCTTCACACTTGTTTGCTCAATTCGTATAGGAAATTTGGATACGTCGACCTCGCTCATAAGGTGTTCTGCGGAATGCCTGACCAAGATGTCGTTACCTTCACTTCTATGTTGACTGGCTACGTCCAGGACGGCAGACATGTGGAGGCGCTGAGGATTTTCCAGGGAATGGTTGAGAGTGGTCGATTTAGGCTGAACGAGCATGTGTATTCTTGTGCATTACGTGCTTGCGCTGGCAATTCAACCTTGTCCGACGCTCAGCAGATCCATGCACATGTCCTGAAATCAGGCATGGCATCCGATGTGTTCACAGGTACTAGCTTGGTTGATTTGTACGTAAAATGTGATGAGATGGAGTGTGCAAGGAGAGCTTTCTTGGGAATTTCTGAGCCCAGTGTCGTGTCGTGGAACGCACTGATGGCTGGGAAATTGGATGGAAATGAAGAAATTATGTTATTTGGTCACATGAGGTCTTTAGGTGTGGTTCCAGACCACATGACGTTCGCAAATGTTCTTCGAGCTTGTGGAGATGGTGTTGGCACTGAAGAAGTGCGGCAGTTGCATGGCATTGTCATGAAGATGATGGAAGTCAAATTGGATACGTTTGTCAGCATTGCCCTTTTTGAAGCTTACATTGATCATGGTTGCTTCAATGAAGCTCAAAATGTTTTTTCTGAGATGGTGCAAAAGGATGATGTGGCATATAACTTGGCAATTCAAGGGTACAATAGAAATGGGCATGCAACAGAGGCTGTGAGCTTATTTCTTGAGTGTCTGAAGATGGGGAAGGAATTGAGAGAGGTAACTCTGTCATCACTCTTGAAGGAAGTAGGATTGCATTCAGGAAGACAGCTGCATGCTATGATTTCCAAGTTTGGATGCTCTGGTAGTGGTCAGTATAACTTCCTACTTGGCCCTTTGATTAGGATGTATTTGGACCATCATTTTTTGGATGATGCACTATGTGTATTTGAAAAGCTTCATCAGCGAGACCTGGCACTGTGGACTTCACTCATCTCAGGGTTTTCCCGGATTGGAGAGAGCGACGCCGCTCTGAAGCTGTATGTCAGAATGGTCACAGAGGAGTCAGTGGAACCTCCAAATCACTACATGTTTTCGGCTGTTCTCAGCTCATGTGCACAAATTGCAGCACTGGAAGAAGGAAAACAGATCCATGCCCAGGTGATCAAGTCAGATCACAGAGTGAAGTGCGATACTTTTGTTGTGAGTAGCTTGTTACACATGTATGCAAAGAGTGGCCACATAGAAGAAGCCATTAGGCTATTTGAAAAGATGCCAAAACGAGACATGGCCTCCTGGAATGCCATGATCAGTGGCCTAGTTCAGCATGGTTTTGCCAAAAGAGCCATCGACACATTCCAAGAATTAGTGAAGCTGAAGTGACCAGAGCCTAACATCATATGTGTAGCAGTTCTTTCTGCATGCAACCATTGTGGGTTGAGTTCATAAAAGAACCCACAGTCGATCATTATGCTTGTCTGGTAGGTATATTTGCCTGGGCAGGAAGGCTAAATGCAGCAGTTGATTTTGTAGAGAAAATATTCTTTGAAGACAATGAGCATAATTGATCATCGGTGCTAGGATCATTCAGTTGGATGAATACATGGCCAAAAGGCTGCTGAAGCTGAATCCAGTAAAATTTGGGGCATACATTACCTTAGGAACACACTCTAACATCAGTTGAACATGTCAGAGAACTTTATTGTTGGTTAACAATAAAGTTGCAAAAGTATGCTTTCAGAGCAGATGGAAGGAGCTGCATTTCAAAATAGCATTGCTTGTTGAGTGATGATGTTATTAACATATGTGCTTTAAACTGGCACCATGTTTACCAGAATTGAAGTTAATATTGACACAGGAGCTTCCAGAATGTTGAATGTGTCACGCGAATCTGCCGGTTCAGAAACTGTTGTGAATTGTCAACCATGAACACTTGCGTCGTCAATCAGGAATAAACTTGCTTCGAAGAATTATGACATGGTCTGGAGGAGTTCAAAAAAATTCTGGAGAATGGTCAGAAGCTTCATCGAAAGAATTATTGCATAGATGATTGTATCTATCATGCATGTTACTGCATCAAATGATATTCTTGTGACTTCAATAGTGATTAATATTTACCGATCAATTTTGTACTGATATTTTTGAAAAGATGAATGTTAAAGATATATTGGATGACGTTCTTTCCCAGCTAAGTTTGTTAACACATTCAAAAATATATCGGATGAAATATCGAATTCTCAATTTTTGTTCGATCTAGATATCAATGTTTTAAGTGTAATATATCAGATAAAATTTCGAGCCTTCCATTTTTTTTAAATAAATGGATATAAGTGCTATTTTTTACACGGATAAAATTTTGAATTCTTAATAAATAAGTTAATAAACCTCATTGGATGCCATAAATGAACGGCACCCCAAGTCAAAAAATCACGCTATATGACCAGTTGTGGGCGCCAATTATGTGAGCTGGAAAATTGTTGTCCTCATAATAATCTCAAGTCAACGAAGAACAAATAAGGAGAATTAGATCAGCATTATGTGATTCCACAGACTCGGACGGCAACTCAATGGGAATACGACTTTGGAATTAGTCTATCATCTTCATGTGATGCACGATATCCCGTGGAAAAGTCATGCTGTAACGCCATCGCTTTAATTAAAAGCAATTAGGTTGACTAATCGCTTCAACATGCATTAATTGCGTTGGACTAAGGAAGGATAAGAACGGCCAGAAGGAAAAGTCACTGCTATGGTAAAAGACTTGGCAATTATTTCTGTAAGTATTAACAACATGTAAATTGCTTGGCCAACTAAGTGTGCTTAACATTCTCTACGTGTAATATGAATGCATTCAAAGACCATCATGTGAAACGATTGATTATATTCTTTGAACGACATCTCAGACCCATAAGGATTAAATATTGACCAACATATTAGATTATAACGGTAAAGTTCGAATTATAAAAATATTTTTAAATTTTTTATTTTAAATATTTAAAAATAAGATTATGTTTATTGACTCTTTCCGGACCTCATGGAAGCATGGTGAGCAGCATGAACGTCCCCAGTTTTGCAGCATAGAAGACTATGTTTATAACTATCCTCATTTTTGCGTGCTGCGGTGACCATGGTGAGCAGCATGAAACGTCAATCATGTTAGCACCCTGAAACCCCTAGGTGGCATAGGATTAGATGAGGCTTTCGGATAACCGGGAAGTTGTCGCCCCTCGCTTCGCTCGTTGTTCCCCGCTCGTTACTTGCTCGCATGACCAGTTTTAGCTTGTTTATGGATTATTTTCGTGTGCTGCAGTGATTGTGACGAGCGGCGTGAAACATCATTCTCATTACCATTAAGCATCAAGAATACAAGAAGTTTTACCAAAAAAGAGTAAAATTCTACTCTTATTTGGAATAAATCTTCAATAGTTTTGATCATCTTTGAGATTATACCGTCTTCTCTATCATATTCACCGTCCATTCTTCTGAGCAAAAAATGTATAATACCATGTATTATCTACTTTATTTCATAGTTAAATACTCTTGCATCAATATGAAATCCTCTACTTTCAACTATTTTGATGAGAAATCAATTGATATTAGTCTTACAAAGTCTCAGTAATCAT